CAGAGAAAATACTCGATACAACGAAAGACGTGTTTCATGCCATTAGTCCAGTTCATAATGTCCAGTGCGTCCTGGGGCGTTGACTCTTGGAGCATAGGATCATGGACGGCATAATTACCAGCCATGCTTGACTATAGTCCACCAGACGCAGAAGGGATACCTGTTCAGGTTTGTTCTTTTTTTGTTTGTTTGTTTGTTTGTTTGTTTGTTTTTTAACATGGTCCTTCAGTGTCCTTTATGGCTGTCACACAATCAGGAGAGAGATATCTGCACCCAGCTCTCACGATGTATCCAAGGTAGTCGACAGATTCTCAGCAGAATTGAAGCTCGGCAAGGAATGTCCTGTGACCTGTCTCGGCCAAATGTATCCGTGGGGCCAAGGAATCCAGTATGTAGTCTTTTCAGTCTCTGGGTAAAGAAGCAGGTCATCCGAATACTGGAGGATACAGGATTGACATGGTAAAGTAGGATGAGACAAGTGCAAATCGACAGCTAAAAAACCTGTGGCGAAATCAACAAATCCCATTGGTAGTTCTTCCCAGACATATTAATTTGTGTACGTAAACGTAGAGAAATTTTGTGTCTCTTCATGTACAATGATAGAGAAATATGCAGAGCATAAATTGATTTTGTATAGAAACTAGAATTATAAGATTGTGCAGTTAAAACTGAGTCAATATCAGACACTATGAGAGCTATGGATTACACTGCTTTATTGAGGGACTATTTTCCTCTGTAGAAATTTGATGTTCGTCCTCACTCTTCAAAATCTCAATGGTGTTGGTTCAGATGCAGTAGACCGGATGATGTCTTAGCACTGACTATCAGTAACTGTTGCATGATAGAGATGTTATCCCGATCAAGGGCTTGTTGGAGTGACCAGAGATACCAATAGATTGAACAGAAAAACTACTCAAATGGATGATTCAATTTGTTCAGGATCTTGTTCCTCCTCCTGAAAACCCTTGGTTCCTTGATTGGCACCATACCCCATCCTCTAAGAATCATTCTGCAAAAAGAGATCAGAGGTTATTTGAGGCATAAAGTGAAGTTGTACTTGGTTCACATTACTTTTTTGAGGACTCCTGCTCCTTCCTACAGGAGGCTGTCCTACTACGGGTCCAGTTACATGACAGTGAAGGCATCTGTCAGTCATGACTTACTATAAGTATGGGAAATATGCCTTGAATGTGCATGCCAGGTATCCTTTTACAGTCTCACTCTGTCACTAAGGCTTTGACCTGTGTCAGATATACACTTTCTGTTAAGTCATAAATTGTATTACAATTCTGGATACATTGATGAATACATTTATCTTAAAGGATGTATGTTGAGAGATTTGACCCTCCCAACATCTGAGTATAACAAGGGGACTACTTTTGTTGGCATTGGGCAGGGCTGTTCATCGGAATTTAACATGTACAAATAGTGAACTGTCATCTTCATAACTTACATACTTCACAGACGCACTAGATAGGTTTACATGAGAAGACACTGAACCTGGGAGCTGCAAGAGGGTGTAACAATAAGCTTGCTTCTTCATATTTTACTTGAACAGTTTCTTAAGTCATAGAGTAAACTTTTTGTTTTTCTTTTTTAAGCCAACTAAGATTCAGAGGAAACTGATGAGCCATCTAAATCTACACCTTTGTCATGTAGTCTTGATTCCATAGAAAACTATCGATGGTTGTGTTATTCATTAGATACTCTCGTACAACATCTAATTTCCTTCTGTTTCTATTTTTGTTATTTTTTATACTTTCCTATCATTCTGATACTTATTAGTTTTTTTTTTTCTTTTCTCTTATTAAAACTGTTGTCCATGGAAAATCCATCGTCAGAGCACTCAGCCAAATTTATAAAAAGGTTAATCGTAATAGAACCCCAGCTTCACTTGTACCTACTCCCTGGCTGACATCTAAACTACAGACATGGTTGGAACGATGTCTAACTGTGGAACAGTTTCAAGCATTTCATTGATCACTTTTCATCCTTTTCTTGGTAGATCTAGCTTCGATTTTTCTTTGTATTTATTTATTTAGCTATTTTTATTTTTATTTAGTTTTTTTTTTTTTTTTTTTTTTGTACCACGTGGTTTTCTGAATTTACTGGTTTGTGACCTCAGTGCGAGGATTATTACTTGCAATTAGTAAATCTATGGTTATTTGTGAGTATGCAAAGCGTCAAAAGGTTCGTGTGTTTCATCCATCTGTACTTTAGGTCAAATTCCATCTTTAAAAAAAATACATCCTGAAGAATTGAGACTGGTATGGGTCGATATTATGCAATACGTAGATACATAATCACACTACAACTGCCACTGAATAAATCGGGGCCATCAAGCGGTCAGTCCGTTCAAACAGAGACATAAGTACCTGTTAATGACTGAATCGGGGCCGTCGTGCGGTCAGTCCGTCAGACTATTAAACAGTAACAACAATAACACAACCACGTCATCCAATGACGTCTTCATATAAAAAACCAGAAGTACCAATTCCATATTTCTCAACATGTCCTCCAAGGACTTCAGTATCTATTCTTGTCTCTCTGGACACCTATATTCACACTATCCATCCACTGTGAGTGGGCCCACCCTAATATTGATTAATATCGACACATCTCAGCAAGCAAATTCAGGGAACTATTAATGTTGTATTAAATTAAATACATTATCCATTCAGACTATCAAAAGTTTAGAAGCCAATTGTACAAGGGCTACTAGGCATCCCATAGCAGAGGTATCTTTTTTAATGCTCAAATCAGGTAAGCAATACAATCACCAGTGGATTGAATAATTAAAGATGCTTACCTTTTTTGGTGATTAATCCTGTTCGTGACGCCAAATTGTAAGGATGCCTAGCCCAGGTTTACACTTGAAAGAATGGAAGGTCCACACGAATGGTCAGTATGACAAGCTTTACTGGTTACAGATCTGGGTTACAGCTTCAACATGCCACAAGTGTAACAAAGAGTGGTCCAAGACCATTCAAGTATATATAGCGGTTCACAATCCTAAACATACTGTTGGTATTTAGTTGACCCTAAGAGAAATCCATGTATGGTAAAAACAAAGGACAACATATTTTAAAAGCCTTAGATGAACATGACTGGCTAAAGAAACTCATCCTAACAGTACAATTGCAAGGAATTTAGGGATTTCAACATCTACGGTCCATAATATCATCAAAAGGTTCAGAGAATCTGTAGAAATCACTGCACATAAGTGGCACGGCCGGAAACCAACATTGAATGCTCGTGACCTTTGATCTCTCAGGTGGCACTGTATCAAAAAACCAATATCAATGTGTAAATGATATCACCACATGGGCTCAGGAACAATTCAGAAAACCACTGTCAGTAAATACAGTTCGTTGCTACATCTGTAAGTACAAGTTAAAACTCTACAAAGCAAAGCGAAAGCCATTTATCAACAACATCCAGAAACGCCGCCGGCTTCTCTGGGCCTGGGCTCATCTAAGATGGACTGATGCAAAGTGGAAAAGTGTTCTGTGGTCTGACAAGTTCACATTTCAAATTGTTTTGGAAATAGTGGACGTCGTGTCCCTCGAGCCAAAGAGGAAAAGAACCATCTGAACTGTTATTGACGCAAAGTTCAAAAGCCAGCATCTGTGATGGTATGAGGGTGCTTTAGTGCCCAAGGCATGGGTAACTTACACATCTGTGAAGGCAACATTAAGACTGAAAGGTACATACACGTTTTGGAGCAACATATGCTGCCACCCAAGCAACATCTTTTTCATGGACGCCCCTGCTTATTTCAGCAAGACAATGCCAAGCCACATTCTGCACGTGTTACAACAGCGTGGCTTCGTAGTAAAAGAGTGCGGGAACTCGGCTGGCCTGCCTGCAGTCCAGACCTGTCTCCCATTGAAAATGTGTGGCGCATTATGAAGCGTAAAAAATGACAACAGAGACCCCGAACTGTTGAACAACTGAAGCTGTACATCAAGCAAGAATGAGAAAGAATTCCACCTTCAAAACTTCAACAATAAGTCTCCTCAGTTCCCAAACTTTTATTAAGTGTTGTTAAAAGGAAAGGTGATGTAACACAGTGGTAAACATGCCCCTGTCCCAACTACTTTGGCACGTGTTGCTGCCATGAAATTCTGAGTTAATTATTACTTGCAAAAAATAAATAAATAAAGTTTAGGAGTTTGAACATTAAAAATCTTGTCTTTGTAGTGTATTCAATTGAATATATGTTGAAAAGGATTTGAAAATCATTGTATTCTGTTTTTATTTACGTTTATCACAATTTCCCAACTTCAATGGAATTGGGTTTTGTAGATAAGAGTAACACAATCATATGTTTGCTGTGCGTGCACATCATTGGCATCTTTTCTCTGCTTGGTAAAGGATGAGGACACATCTGTATGATGTAAAGGACCAATAGCAAATCTGGAGAGCCAGAAACCATCTTTGAAGACCAAGAGGATGCAGGGGCTGCTCCATTACAATCGAGTCCTCCATAAGTCTTTTGATGGAGATGAGTTTTCTGGCCATGAGGGTCAGCTGTACTTTCTGATGTCTCTGCAGTTTGGTTTCAATAGTTCCAACAGATTGAACTCAAATGTGTTACTTTTGGGGTCACTGGATCTTCCTCTGCTGTCATGATGGAAAAATAACAACACTGACTTTTCAGTGGTGCATTTTACACTAAAAGAACAACCGGGCAGTTCAGTTGAAGAGTCATGAGTATCTGTAAAATAAATACATGAATGCACTGGCGGCAGCAAAGTACAAGTGGACAGAAAATACTATTAGTGTAATTTCTTTCAGCACACTTCACTGTAACTAAAGTGTTTCGATTGCTTATCTCGTCACATGTGGATGATGCGTTTATTTGTGATGACGTTTTAAAACCTGGGACTTAAACGTGTCCTTCTGCAGGGACTGTATGTCACCACAAGGTGGTAGTGTTTGATACCTAACACACTCACAGCTTCTCTCGTTGTCAAACAATTTATTACAATTTTTTTAGACCACTTACAGTTTTCTCTTACCCAGGACGCAACATGCAATGAAAAGTACCCAAAAGAGTAATTGAGTGCAAATGCAAGAATAGCGACAGAATTAAGCAGTCATCAACACTAGTGCATACTTCATGCAGTAATTTTTGGACACACGTGTGAAGACAAAAAGGAACTGGTTTTATCCTACTGACTTTTTTGACACACAGAGTTGAGTATCGAATAAATTAAGCAACAACATTGCGTGTAACAAGCACCGTTCAACACCGTGCCTCAGTCACAATCAGGACTCCAAAGTCCTCTCAGATATGACAGTCATAATAAAGGGGGAGTCACATCGAGAGCCAGAGACACAGTCAAGACAAAAGCCACTATTAACACTGCCCGTGATTGGCCGAACCACTGGACTACTACCTTTCATTATCACGCACAGTAACTCTGTTTATGTTTTTACGGTGTTAGGGCGAAAGGCTGGAGTTGATGGCAGCTCAGGTTCATGCTGAGCTATGCGCGCCCCCGCGAGCAGCAGGGCGGAACGTTTCTCCGGTCTCTTTTTTCAGCCCCGATTATAGAGGGAACCAAAGGGGGTAGGACCGAGGACTGCAGTTTTCGCTAATCCGACAGCATTTTGCCAAGTAACTCGGCTGTCTCCAGCTGTGTGAGAAGAGCGGACAGTTTACACACTGGTAAAAAAAAAATACGCATTCAGATTCTCGGTGGTTCAATATCGGCAGTGACTGTCAAGCATTTCTTTATGCCTCGATCTCTTTAGACAAATCTCTCAAATATTACACTGTACTCTGACATGTTGATACTTTTTTACGTTAACATGCTTCATCATCACTGCTTCCTAAACAAGACTAAAATGTTCATTAAAAAGAAAAGATATCTTTGCACAATGAACAGTTATACAGGTCAAGTAACTTGTCTTGTTCTTACAGAAGCCTATGTTTTTTTTATATTTAACTACATTAATCAGATAAAACAACTGACTATTTGACCTCAGATTACCTTGCAGTCCCTGTCTATCTTCAGTCTCTGGTTGTTGTGGACCCCCACAGACGTGCAGAACAGAACAATGTTGTCGTCAGACACGTGATGCATTTAATGTCATGGCTGACCAGGATAAAATAAGGGGAAAAAAACTACTGGCTGTCTTTACACAAAGTAGCCTACAGCTGCAGCAAAGACTAAAGGTTTTGCATCACCTTATGACTCAAATGAAACCACACACAATATGTTATTATATTATCATTTTACTTTATACATAATTTCAAACAATCAAGTTAAACATTGTCCATGCTGGAAGGAAATTGATCTGTTTCGCTGGAGGAAACTTTTATCATTTTGTTATCCTTAAAGCTTTCTTCTTAAATAACACTTTTTTAGACTTTACATTTTTAAGAATAAAGACCAGCTAGTTTAAAGCTAAAATTAACCTCAAATATGGTGTAAGATGTTGGCATTAGCACATTAATATGCTCAAAATACAGAGGAAATGTTAGCATTTGAGGCTGACCTAGCTTAGCATATGTAGATATTATTGTTATAATAATAATAATAATAATGATAATGACAATAGCAATAATAATAAAGCTAATAATAATAATAAAGCTCTAGTTTGAAGCTAAAATTAACCTGAAATGGGGTGTAAGATGTTAGCATTAGCGCATTAGCATGTTCAAAATACAGAGGTAATGTTAGCATATCAGGATTACCTACCTTAGCATATGTAGATACTAATGTTACAATAATAATAATAATAACAATAATAATAATAATAATAACAATAATAATAAAGCTAAAAATAATAAAGCTCTAGTTTAAAGCTAAAATTAACATCAAATGAGGTGTAAGATGGTAGCATTAGCACATTAGCATGTTCAAAATATAGAGGTAATGTTAGCATATGAGGAGTAACTAGCTTAGCATATGTAGATACTAATGTTATAATAATGATAATAACAATGCTACGACTACTACTCATAATAATAATAACAATAATAATAATAGTAGTAATAATAATAATAATAATAATGCATGGAGTTCAGATAGCCTGGCAGTCTGGCAGCGCTCCACACGCAGCTGGCACAGGTTCAATTCCTGTAAGCCATTCCCTGCCCTTTTCCCTGTTTCCAACTTTATCCACTGTCCTCTATCTGTCTTCAACAGCCATAGGAGCCCCAAAATAAATGTTAGATAATAAATGATAAATACAAAATAACAATGCATAAAGGCACACAGTATCCTGAACATAAAATAGTGCATGGACTAACAGTTGCAAACAAAATACCCACTGAATACTGTAGAGTTTAATAGTCTTTCACGTGTGTTCCCCGCATTTTTTCTCTGCATCTTACTTCAGTTCCTTTTACAGCTTGATTTAAAGATATCTAACAAACATGTGTGTACTTAAAATGATATTGATTTATTATAGTAGTCTGATTGATACTGGACATTAAAAAAAACAACAACCTGTGAACATGTTAGTCCACCTGAAATCGCACTAAAATCAAACATCTCATAGTTAGACTAACATACCTGGAAAATGCAGTTGGAGATCAAGTTTCTGCTAGTCTCTCTTGAGGTATACGACCCATGCATACAAAATCAGAGTAGAGAAAAACCACTGACATGTATTGTCTGTTTCTCCAGCGCATTGAAATTATTTGGCAACAAAGACCTTGTGGTGGTGTTATGAAAGGAAAAGTGGTTAGAAGATGCAAGCCTTACCCACATCAGGCAGTCAAAAAAGCTGCACAACCAAAATTCTTTTCCAAGCTGCCTGTGCAACCCAGAGGCAAAGTTTGCTTAAATTGTCATATAGCCTATAATGTGGGACCAAGGACACACAGTCACAGACAGCCATTTTGTTTTTATGTTTAAATTTCTTAATCCAACAAGTTTTTTTTCCACTTTTGCTAAGTATAGTGTACCATGGCCAAGCAATTTCATGTAAAGACACCTTTACTGGAAAGTGTCAGCATGTCCAAACATTTGGGAGCCACAGTCTACCTCAAAAGACTGTTTCAATGCTGCTGTTAGGGCAGGCAAGGTGGTCACCCTGGATGACATCACCAGGTTGGTTGAAAACAGAGTGTCGATTTGTTTAATGGCAATAAATACACCTCGGGCTCTATTTTGGTGCCTCGCCGGAGACGTGCCGCAAGCGCAGCGTCAATCAGATCCGCCGCGCTGACAAGGCGTTCCCAAGCACATTTTGGTATTTTGGTGAGCCGCGCAGCCCGGCGTAAGTATCCCCCCTCCCTAACTCAGCTCCTCCCAGCAGCATAAGTCGTAGACGGGGAGGAGAGAGGGCGTATAGTGGGTTTAACACAGCCGAGACCTGTTTTCACCAATCACATAAGCTCCTCTCCTTGCCTTTAAATCCGCCACCGGCGAGGCGTATTACTATTTTCATGAAGTAGTCAAAGAGATCAAGAGATGTCTGAAGACAGTTATGCCACACGATGGCGACAGAGGGCAGCTGCTCAACAAGTGTCCTCCACACTCTCTCATCTGAGCACAGATGGATTTGGTGTGTGTAATGTTGGGCCCACTGGTAAGACAAACACCCTTTTCCACAAATAAAGACACTCACATAAAGTTGCATATATTCAAACCTCACGTGACAAAGGTGGGTTGAGCGCACAGATCACAACATAAACTCCAAAAATGGCATTAAAATCGGAACCATCTGTGCGTAAATGACGCATCGCGCTCCGTGGCCTGGCTCTTTCTTTCATAGATGTTGGCATATAAAATAAATTTGGCCCACAAAACTGAATATTATAATATCCGTATGTCGGCTTAAAGTAGATAACTCATCTGAGCACTGAAACAAATCATCTGTTCAGCTGCAGCAGCAGCAGCAAGACGGACAGAGGACACGGAGACGTGTCCAGGTCGAGCTGTGCGAGAAATAAGAGGAAGAAAGAAAAGGAGGGAGACACATTACATGTCTTGTTAACTTCATCATGTGTGTTTATTTACTTGATATTTAATTTGATGCAGTTTCAGCTGTATTGATTCGGTCAGGTTGTGTGCCCAAACGCGTGCCAAACGCGCTCATCAGATCAGATATAGATCAGAATATATCGATATAGATCTAAATGTATGTGCTGACTCAGATTAATAGTTGTTGATGATTATTTATTGCACTGAAATCTGCCTGACACTGTGGAAACCTGCCGGTGAGGCATCAGTGACGTATGTCGATATGCCGCCGGTCTACCAAAATACTACTGGACCAGCTGCGTTCCGCCTTGCGCTGAAAGCTGACCAGGTTTGAATCGGCGAGCTTTCAGGGCACGTTACACGCCGGTGGCGAGCACGAAAATGTCACTGCGCCAGCTGATTCTGTCAACACCTCCCCCTGCCACGCCACCACGCCCAGCTTGGCGGATCTCGCCTCGCCTCCGTGCGACTCAGTCCACGAAAATACCAAACTCGCCTTACGCCGGGCTCCGCCAGACGAAAATACAACTGCGCGGGGCTCGCCGCCCTCCGCTGCCTCACCGGCGCGAACGAAAATAGAGCCCCTCATCTTCATCTTTCTGTTCACAGTGAAGCTAAATGTCTTGGAGCAAGAACTGTCTGTAAGAAGGCTTTTGAATACAGCCAGAGCAGTGACTTTACTATCATTTCTGAGGTGGTGACTGACCAGCAGGCTCTGCAGGCTATGGAAACATTCCTAGGTTAGTGATTTTACATGACAAATTTGGTCTCCTCCAGTAAAAGTGGATGTAAGTGGTTATCTAACTGAATTCTAGTGTGAATGATTCTGCAGACGAGGAGCGTGTGTTGGTGGAGATGGCATGTGGAGCAGCATTGGCAGCTGTCTACAGTGGAATCATAAAAAGACTACAGGATGAAGGTAACTGCTCTGGCAACATCTTCAACTTAGAACAACACCTAGTGTTTTGTGGACACTAAATTATGGTCCCTGTCTAGGAAACAACAATTGTGACTATTACTTTTCAATCCATGCTTGTGTGATTAGTGGTGGAAATGGACACATGGCAGGTCCTGCTAAAACTCTTACTTATGGGTCATCAGTATGCACTAAAGGAAAATAAGATCTGAGCTGGATTGAGCCTTGTGAGGTGTTTCATTTGAGCTTATAAAGGCTGCTGTCTTGGGTGCTACATTGCAATAATCCCTTCTTGGCCCCAGTTTCTTTTTTGCCCCGGGCCAGTTCCATTTCACATGCCTCCCTAACTTTTAACGCATCACACACCAACTCTTTACACCCCACTTTTTAATGCATACATCACAGTGAATTTTTTATGGCACTACATGAACAACACACAAGAGGAGAGTCATGTGTGGCCCGGGATATTTAGAGGTGGAGTGGATGGTCAGTTCGGTTGGCGGGTGGTCGCGGAGCGGGGCCCTCTGGGGTGCCCCACGGGCGTCCCACCACGGCTGATGTCGGTGCTGGTCGGCCTGCTTTTTGGCAGTGCAGGGGGCCGGGCCAGCCTCTGGTACGGGCTACGGTGTTGTGTATCACAGTGATTTTTGTTGTTTTGTATCCTCATTATTACTGTTATTATTGTTGTCGTCGTCGTTGTGATTCGTTTATTGTCATTATTATTGCTGGTATTACTATTGTTATTATTGATGCTGTTGTCATTGTTGTATCGTCGCTGTTGTGTTGGTGATTCCGGGGGATTCGAGGGGACTCAAAAAAAAAAAAGGAAATGAAGAAAAATCCCGGAAATACCGAGAATTTTGGCTTCAAATCCATATAGGCTACAGAACCAAGTTGTCCATAGTATATACAGTCTATGCATCCAACAAGGACATGGCAGCCCGCCACAGTCATCGGATCAGCAGGAACGCAGCGTTCCTACAATATTGTCACGGACGAGGGACACACACTCCTACGCAACCGGCGTCACCTCTTACAGACCACAGAAAGTGAGACAAGCCACAAAGTTGCAACAGAAGGCCAACAGGTGGAGCCTCAGACCGCTGGGACTTAACAGCAGACTGTTGCAAGTTCCCCCACCATTCCACCTCAATATACCACCAGGTCTGGCCGCATGGTCAAGCCAAGAGCCATCTTAGACCTGTGATTGTGATTTGTGATTTTACTCTGATATTTTGATTATTTCCTAGGTGTAAGTCTGGACAGTTTTCTTTGCTTTTCAGTTTTTCAAGTGTATTAGTCAGCAAATTATTCTTTATTAACTGTTGATACAGATAAAGAGTTTGACGTTAAAACAACCCTGAGTGAGTACTCACCCTGTGTCGACGTCCTCTTCTCCCTCTGCTCTGTCCTTATCTCAAAGTCTATTTGTGAGCGCTCATACTTTCACTTTCACTCTGACTGTTGTCAACTAAACCTAACCTACCAGATCACAGAGTCTCCTCCCCCTGTCATTTACTGTGGAAGATTGACAGTTGGGTTTTTTTCAGTCTTTTAGGTCGGTATTCTTCATAATCATCTTCTTCTCCTGAGTCCAAACTAAAATAAATTCACTAAAACACGAACTTGTATGGTTGAGTCTCAGTTTATTGTTGCTGCAGCAGCACCACCTCCTGGTAAGACCAACAAACTGACTCAAAACTGAAAAACCCTGAGAGGTGAACCAGAAAAAACAACTGGAAACAGAGAGTAAGGCAGGGAAAATGAGGCTGACACAGATGTTGCTGTTAAAAAGATGAGCACACTTTTTGTTGAATAATTTGGATTCAGGAAAGATGATGTGTTTGAGCAAATTAAACATAACAAACAGAAAGACAGTGTAGCGATTTGAAATGAGCCTCACAAGGCCGCACTAAAATAATACTGTAGCGATTGGAATTTATAATAAATGTCTGAAGATTAATAATCTCAAATTATGACATTTATGCACTCGTTGAAAGGGGCACCACCCACCCTTAATGGTGGGAAAATAAAGAAAACAAAAGTTTAATTCAGAAATCAAACATCAAGTCAGTTTTAATTAATCAGTCTCATATCTTAAGTCGAAATTCTCATTTCAGGGACTCCACTTCTGGAAGAACACTAACAGACCAGAACTTAGAAAAATAATTATCTGTTTATTACAGGATAAATGATGGTACAACACACATGCAATAAATGATAAGAAGATAATGAGGATAAAATAATAATAGGTGAATAAATAAAGATTCTGAGTCAGGCTAGGGGCACTAAAGTTAATGATAGTGAGTGAATATGCGCTAACATATTAACCTACACTAACTTTGGTGTCGAGATAAACTCGGATGTGGATTTGGAGGAATCTAAGATCACCAGAAATAGGTGGATATCTGAGTTATGAACGCATGAGACAGCACCAGCCCTCTTTAGAGCTCTGGAGGTTTGCATACTTAAGTGAGACTGGTCCTTGGAGAAGATGGAGCAGGTTCCGAAGGTCCGGGGCTACTGGCGGTTCGAGCGGTTCAGCTCAGAAGACGACTGAAGTCAGCCGAAGGATGAGCCAGGAGTTGCAGCACTCGGGCCCGAAGCAAAGCCAGCGCCTGTGGATCCTGTGGATGCTCGTTTGGGTACTTCTTTGGTCTCACTCAAAAACTCTGGCACAGAGGATGACCTGGGCCTGCTGGGTTGCGTTCAGAGGTGACTTTGAAATCACGCAGAAAACTCAGAAAAACGAGGCTCGAAGAGCAGAGAAAACTTTCAAAAATGGCTTTGCAAAATTAAAGAAAAATCAATCAAAGGCTTAATCTTGAATTGCTATGCGCACAAAAAGTTGAAGTTTCAAAACTTGAACTAAGACGATGTTAAAGAAAAATCAACGTGAATCAACACGTGGCGTAAAACTTAGAAGACTAAGAAAAAGTTCTAAGAGAAAACAAAGAAACGCACCACAGAAGGGTGTGGACAGAAGAGAAGGGGCATAAGAGCCGGGGACAAGAGAGTCAGCAGAAGAGCAGAAGCATAAGAGACATAAGAGGCATAAGAGATAAGAGCGTGAGCAACCCCACTTCACTGGTTTTATCTTCTCACACTGGGTGTGTCTCCGGCGTATGGGTGTGAGGAGAAAGAGGAGGAGGGGTTGTGTGGTCTCCAAGCAGAGATGAACTCGGATCTCTGATTATTTGATCTAACTTATTCTTTTGGCTGGTAAAAGAGTCAGATCTGATACTCACTCACTATGATTAATATCATTGAATGCTAGGTTTCATGATAAATAATTTGACACTAAACACATATGAATGAAGTGTAGGATCACATCAAACATTCTCATTATGTTTTAAGTATCACATTAAACATGCTAAATTACTCTGAAATGAAACAGATAGTAACACATGGAAACTGTGAACAACAAAAGAGTAAATACATGTGAATGAACTTCATCATGATTAATAATGGATTCTAAATACTCACATTCAGATTATTCAATGACATTATAACCACCTAATGGTTAAAAATACTAAATAAACATCTACAATATAAACCAAACATTTCTAAACTGTTTCTGTTACCTAGAGTTAAGTTATGATTCATAGTCGATAAATTTAACTCTTAAAAGTTCATGAAACAGTCTGAAAGGCTGTTGGTCTAAAGAAACTAAAGAATAAAGGATTTATTCTGTAACTCGGCTTCTGGAGCACATAGAAAAACGGAAAACATCTCATTTTAACACAAAGTTCATGATTAGACAGATTAGTACATTGCTGAATGCATAAGATGTCATGATCAGTCATTTGTATTCTTTCACCAAAGGAATGTAGTCTTTATCAGTGCATGGTCGAGCAGGGTTTTACGACCGAGGTCTGGAGGTCAGTGTCCCCCCTTTTCCTAGGGTCCGTATGTTCACACACTTTAAGACACTAAATCTCAAATGGGAGATCTGGGTTGAGACATTAATGTTTATTTAGATGGTCAGCAAATGGAGTCAGTTTGAAAGGTAATAAAACTCTGTCTCTGTTCTCCGAATTGACCAATCGTGAAGAGTCGGAGGTTTAGTCAACCTCCGGTTGGGTCACTTATTTAACCTGAAAGTGTAAACGAGTCTGGAAAGATTTATATCCTGTTTCCTGGGACCAGATAAGGAACTTTCCTGTGAGGAATGTGTGGGTTTCACACCCAGGGTTGTCTTGATTGCTACAACAGGAACTCAAAGTTACAGTTGATTTATGCACCTCAATATATTTAAACTGACCATCATATCTTGTTTTGCAATATCAGATACTGAGTTGATCCACTGCAGGGTTTCCCCTTCACACAGGCTGAGTTTATGTACTTGTGTTTGCTCTTCTACTCACTTCCATCCAACAACACTTAGTGATGGTGATGAAGAACAGTGATCCTCCTCAGCTGTCATCCTGCTGTGTATGTTGTCATACCTCATTCATGGGGTCAGCTGCTGTTGATAGACAAAAAATCATTCATTTGGTTAAACAGCTTTTAAAATACCAGTCTTTTTCTACTGATCACTACAACAGCAGATACCCTTTTTTAAATGAAGAACATAGCTAATTACGGTAACACGCAAAGCGCGTTTAAGAATTATGTCCGTATTTTGCCTTTGAGTCTATTTGACCATTTGACAGTTTTTTAATGCAGTGCAGCAATTTAATCATATATTAAATAATTATAGTAATAAATGACAATTTCAGAGGCTAGAGATTTACAAAGACCTCTGAAGACAAAATTGTGTCATGTCTTTCACTTCACTATAACTAAAGTGTTTTGATTGCTTATCTCGTCACAAGTGGATGATTTGTTTATTTGTAATGATTGTTTAACACCTGTGACTTAAACCTGTCCTTCTGCAGACTCTTTGTCACCACATGATGGTAGTGGTTTACACACACGGCTTCTCACGTTGACAATTTATCACCAACTTCTAGACCGCTTATATTGTAGTTTTATTTTACCCAGGACAGAACATGCCATGAAAAAAACACAAAACAGTAATTCATTGCAAATGCAACAATAGCGAGAGAATGAAGCAGTCATCAAAACTAGTTCATACTCCATGCAGTAATTTTTGGACACACGTGTGAAGACAAAAGACAAAGAAGACAAAGAGTTGAGTATAAAATAAATAAAGCAACAACATTGTGTGTAACAAGCACCGTTCAAGACCGTGCCTCAGTCACAATCAGGACTCTAAAGTCCTCTCAGATATCACAGTCATAAGCGGGAGTCACATTGAGAGCCAGAGACACAGTCAAGACAAAAGTCACTATTAACACTGCCCGTGATTGGCCGAACCACTGGACTATTACCTTTTATTATCACGCACAGTAACTCTGTTTATGTTTTTACGGTGTTAGGGCCAAAGTCTGCCGTTGATGGCAGCTCAAGTTCATGCTGAGCTGTGCGCGCCCCCGCGAGCAGCACTTTAACCCGGCATCAGGGCGGAACGTTTCTCCGGTCCCTTTTTTCAGCACTGATTATAGAGGGAACCAAAGGAAGAAGGACCGAGGACTGCAGTTTTCGCTGATCCGACAGCATCTCGCCAAGTAACTCGGCTGTTTCCAGCTGTGTGAGAAAAGCGGACAGTTTATATACTGGTAAAAAAAATTACGCATTCAGATTCTCAGTGGTTCAATATCGGCAGTGACTGTCAAGCATTTCGTTATGCCTCGATCTCTCAAATATTACACTGTACACTGACATGTTAATACAAAAATGACTATTTATTTATTGCTCATTTCCATTGTGTTGTGAAAGTCGTCTTCTCGGGACTATCATTCCGCTTTTTACATGCTTCATCATCACTGCTTCCTAAACAAGACTAAAGTGTTCATTAAAAAGAAAAGATAAGCATTGAACAGTTATACAGGCCAAGTAACTTGTCTTGTTCTTACAGAAGCCTATGTTTTTTATATTTAACTACATTAATCAGATAAAACAACTGACTATTTGACCTCAGATTACCTTGCAGTTCCTGTCTATCTGCAGTCTCTGGTTGTTGTGGACCCCCGCAGACGCGCAGACATAAGTGGGAACAGAACAATGTTGTGGTCAGACACGTGATGCATTTAATGTCATGGCTGACCAGGATAAAATATGGGGGAAAAAATCAACTGGCTGTCTTTACACAAAGTAGCCTACAGCTGCAGCAAAGACTAAAGGTTTTGAATAACTTTATACATAATTTCAAACAATCAAGTTTAACATCGGCCATGCTGGAAGGAAATTGATCTGTTTCGCTGGAGGAAACTTTTATCATTTTGTTATCCTTAAAGCTTTCTTCTTAAATAACATTTTTTTAGACTTTACTTTTCTAAGAATAAAGACCAGCTAGTTTAAAGCTAAAATTAACCTCAAATATGGTGTAAGAAGTTAGCATTAGCACATTAGTATGATCAAAATACAGATATAATGTTAACATTTGAGGCTTACCTAGCTTAGCATATGTAGATATTATTGTTATAATAATAATAATAATAATCGCAATAATAATAAAGCTAATGATAATAATAATAATATAAATAATAATAATAATAATAATAATAATAATAATAAAAAAGCTTTAGTTTAAAGCTAAAATTAACCTGAAATGGGGTGTAAGATGTTAGCATTAGCGCATTAGCATGTTCAAAATACAGAGGTAATGTTAGCATATCAGGATTACCTAGTTTAGCATATGTAGATACTAATGTTATAATAATAATATTAATAATGATAATAATAATAATAAAGCTAAAAATAATAAAGTTCTAGTTTAATGCTAAAATTAACATCAAATGAGGTGTAAGACGGTAGCATTAACACATTAGCATGTTCAAAATACAGAGGTAATGTTAGCATATGAGGATTATCTAGCTTAACATATGTAGATACTAATGTTATAATAATGACAATAACAATACTACTATTACTACTCATAATAATAATAATGATAATAATGCATGGAGTTCAGATAGCCTGGCAGTCTGGCAGCGCTCCACACGCAGGTGGCACAGGTTCAATTTCTGTAAGCCATTCCCTGCCTTCTTCCCTGTTTCCAACTTTATCCACTGTCCTCTATCTGTCTTCAACAGCCATAGGAGCCCCAAAATAAATGTTAGATAATAAATGATAACTACAAAATAACAATGCATAAAGGCACACAGTATCCTGAACATAAAATAGTGCATGGACTAACAGTTGCAAACAAAATACCCACTGAATACTGTAGAGTTTAATAGTCTTTCACGTGTGTTCCCCGCATTTTTTCTCTGCATCTTACTTCAGTTCCTTTTACAGCTTGATTTAAAGATTTCTAACAAACATGTGTGTACTTAAAATGATATTGATTTATTATAGTAGTCTGATTGATACTGGACATAAAAAAAAAAAAAAACAACAACCTGTTAGTCCACCTGAAATCACACTAAAATCAAACATCTCATAGTTAGACTAACATACCTGGAAAATGCAGTTGGAGATCAAGTTTCTGCTAGTCTCTCTTGAGGTATACGACCCATGCATACAAAACCAGAGGAGAGAAAAACTACTGACATTTATTGTCTGTTTCTCCAGCGTATTGAAATTATATGGCAACAAAGACCTTGTGGTGGTGTTATGAAGGGAAAAGTGGGTAGAAGATGCAAGCCTTTCCCACATCAGGCAGTCAAAAAAGCTGCACAACCAAAATTCTTTTCCAAGCTGCCTGTGCAACCCAGAGGCAAAGTTTGCTTAAATTGTCATATAGCCTATAATGTGGGACCAAGGACACACAGTCACAGACAGCCATTTTGTTTTTATGTTTAAATTTCTTAATCCAACAAGTTTTTTTTCCACTTTTGCTAAGTATAGTGTACCATGGCCAAGCAATTTCATGTAAACACACCTCTACTGGAAAGTGTCAGCATGTCCAAACATGTGGGAGCCACAGTCTACCTCAAAATGGAGAATTCCCAGCCCTCTGGATCCTTCAAAATCCGTGGTATTGGTCACCTCTGCCAGAAGGTAGGAAGACTGAAAATTGTTTGGCACAGTGTTGACTGTCAGTTGTATTATGAAATTAACCTTTCCTTTGTCTGCTTTTCTTTTTAGCTAGCCAGTCAGTACAAAGGTGTTGTCTGCTCTTCAGGTGACTCTATTTTAACAGCAGCTGCTCAGATCAATAAAAGAGGCTTTTATGCAGAGCTCTGTGTATCATCTTCATAGGTGGTAATGCAGGTATGGCTGCAGCCTACGTGGCTAGAAAAATGGGTTTACCAGCAACCATTGTGGTTCCTACATCTTCTCCCCATTTGGTTGTTGAGAGACTCCAGGATCAGGGGGCTACAGTAAAGGTTTCAGGAAAGGTAAATATTTGAATAATCCAAGTGGTCTCAGTTTATTCAATCACAATCACTTGTTTTAAGAAATTGTAGTCATTTATTTTAATGCCTGGATCATAAAACGTGTCCGTTAAATTTGTATTCCAGGTTTGGGATGATGCCAATGCAGAGGCTCTAAGGCTGGCCAAAACTGAAGAACTGGCCTACATCTCTCCATTTGATCATCCTCTACTCTGGTATAAACATTCATCACAGCTTAAGGGTCGAGTTTCTGGCAATGCAAAGTTAATTAAATAATTAATGTTTTTAACTGATACACCTATGTTTCTCACTCACTCCATGTAATATGAATTCAGGCAGGGTCATGCAAGTATGATCACAGAGGTTGCTGCTTGTCTTGGTCCGAATGTGAAGCCTGGTGCTGTGGTTGTATCTGTGGGTGGAGGGGGCCTCCTTTGTGGAGTGATCCAGGGCCTGGAAAATGTTGGCTGGACAGATGTACCAATCGTTGCCATGGAGACAGTGGGGGCAGACTGTTTCAATGCTGCTGTTAGGGCAGGCAAGGTGGTCACCCTGGATGACATCACCAGGTTGGTTAAGAACAGAGTGTCGATTTGTTTAATGGCAATAAATAACACCTCATCTTCATCTTTCTGTTCACAGTGAAGCTAAATGTCTTGGAGCAAGAACTGTCTGTAAGAAGGCTTTTGAATACAGCCAGAGCAGTGACTTTACTATCATTTCTGAGGTGGTGACTGACCAGCAGGCTCTGCAGGCTATGGAAACATTCCTAGGTTAGTGATTTTACATGACAAATTTGGTCTCCTCCAGTAAAAGTGGGTGTAAGTGGTTATCTAACTGAATTCTAGTGTGATTGATTCTGCAGACGAGGAGCGTGTGTTGGTGGAGATGGCATGTGGAGCAGCATTGGCAGCTGTCTAGAGTGGAATCATAAAAAGACTACAGGATGAAGGTAACTGCTCTGGCAACATCTTCAACTTAGAACAACACCTAGTGTTTTGTGGACACTAAATTATGGTCCCTGTCTAGGAAACAACAATTGTGACTATTACTTTTCAATCCATGCTTGTGTGATTAGTGGTGGAAATGGACACATGGCAGGTCCTGCTAAAACTCTTACTTATGGGTCATCAGTATGCACTAAAGGAAAATAAGATCTGAGCTGGATTGAGCCTTGTGAGGTGTTTCATTTGAGCTTATAAAGGCTGCTGTCTTGGGTGCTACATTGCAATAATCTATTTTTGGGATCCAAGAGAGAAAGGATCATCTCTTCTTTCTCCCCTGGATCCACAGGTTTGAAAAAAAAAATACTCAATTTAATCTGACAGAAGGCATTGTTCCTCCTCCAATTATTAGTCCCAGAATGGCGCTCCCAGGTTTCCTTCCATTTCCATCACTAATTATAATTAATAATCAGTAATAACCACTCCTTTTTAGGTCGGCTACCAACTCCTCTGGGCCCCCTGCTGGTGATTGTGTGTGGCGGCAGCGGTATCGACATGAAACAGTTTACCCACCTCAAACTCAAACTTTCTACTTAAACTGCTACATTTCAGCTAATATGTGTTTATGTGTCTTTAAGGCCTATTCAGCCAGTGTTGAATTCCTGGTTGCAATGATATTGAACGCTATTTATGAAGAAATAAATGTTATTCTAATGCTCTACTTTAATTTTGACATGGCATAGAATATTCAATTGTAATGTATATTCTTTGAAAATCAAAAATGTATTTTTTCAGAAATGATCAGGTGATATCTTGATTAGCTTTTATTATGATGTGTTTCTATTTCAAACTGAATGAAAAATCTTTGATAAATCTTCCTTAAAAAATAATTTTAGAAATGTAAATACTTGTTTAGTGATTAATGCAAACCATCACTGGAAATGTCCTGTATGTACACAAATAAAACACTTATTACTACCTTGACTTTATTGTTAGTAATAATAACTTTTTTAAATAAGATCATTTAAGGACTTGCAAATGCAGGGATGAGGGGTCTTGTCTCACCATGGTGAAATACTCAATTTTTTGCATGACCTTTATTTTTACTTGACTTTTTATACACTGTACAAAAAATTTCTACTTTCCTCCTGCAGTGACTCCATGTCACCACAAGATAGCAGTGTTTCATACCAAACACACTCAAGGCTCATCATCGTTTGGGCAAAAAAAAAGTACATTAAACTTGGTGGACCATTAACATTGTAGTTTTCCTGTATGTTATCTCACTCACTACAGAAAATACAAGAAAAAGTACCTAAAACAGTAATCTGTTACAAACATTAGGAAAGAATAGTGAGAGGATAAAGCCAAATGTTTGTGTACTTCTGGTTATACATTGACTAAAGGGCCCGATTTTAACCCACTGACTGCATTAACTGAAAAAGTCAAAACATCAATAAAAGAGGCATGACATGACATCCTGAATATAACTACCATGGCAAATACAAAGTTTTGTCCAATTAAAACAGCACAAACAGTTTCTAATCTATGCGGCTGACAGAGCGAATAGAGAACACAGGAGAGATCACCTCCTCTGTTTCATCCTCTCCTTCAGTCCCCTTCACCACTCCTCCTTTCATCTCAGCGAGGCCCCCAGGGGAGAACACTGGCCCTGTGTGTGTGTGTGTTCAGAGATGAGGGGGCTTTTGGGTCTGGCCACGGGATCAAGATCTCCATATCTTGAAAGAGGGAGATGACAACATAAGATAATAGTAAAAAGGACTGACAGGATTGTGTGTGTGTGTGTGTGTGTGTGTGTGTGTGTGTGTGTGTGTGTGTGTGTGTGTGTGTGTGTGTGTGTGTGTGTGTGTGCGTGTGTGTCATGTCTACTGTGGGGGTAGTTGCCTCCCCCAAAGTCCCAAAACTCTGTGATACCCTACCTGCTGCCCCCACCCCCCGTCCGAGCTCTATTTGAGGCCCATATTGAGGCCTGATGATCTCCAGTGACAACCATCAACAACATTCTCTGTAATGTATTCTGTCAGAGACTGAATTTATTCTTAGAAAGTGGTTACAGTGGAAACATTGATGCTATTAAAGCCTGATCTGTATAGTTCTGGTGTAGAATGAGACTCCTAATAAGTTAAAGTAAAAAAATAAAGGTTCCAGGGATTGGTATATTTGGGTATCATCTGCATACAGGTGGAAAGAAACACCCCGTTTTTCTCAGATTAATCCTTAAAGTAGGAAGTACAGGGGAAAAAAGATTAAGAAATAATGAATTTGACAAAAGCTGCTGAATGAATATGTGTTCCTGTACGGGAAAAGGGAGCTGTCAACAATGGAACAAAGGTGACATCAGTGTGGGAGCAAAAGCTTCAAAAATTAATAATACAGACGAGACATTAAACACATTATAAAAACATCCAGCAGCTTTGTTACGGATCATGAGCAAAATGTCCAAATAGCATTACAGCCGAGCTCAACTGTGCTCACACGCACCGTTGTCAAACCACAGCTGCCATTACACTTTTTATTGTCATCTTTGATATGATTACTGGAGACACAGTGGCTCTGCTCAGAACACACACGTTTGATGTGGTGAGTGCAAAGCAAAACTCACATCCTGCTCTTGACTGAAACAAAACAAGCCGGCCATGACGTTTCCACTTGATGATCCTGAACCAGCATCCAAATGTTAGTCCTTCAGCATTTGTGTGTGTTTTTTCAGAGGAGACACTGTTGACATATGAGGTGGGGTGAGAGAGGGACAACCTATCTACCCACATCATTAAATAAAGTTTGGATTGACTTTATTGTCCACCTTGGTGGGAATTTGTCTCTGAGAAAGATGATGTGAGATACTCTGCTTAGAGCGAGTTAAGATTAGGGCTGAATATCTCTGGTGAGGCTGACTCTAGAAGCATCTCAATATGTTGTTAGTTATTAGAGAAACAGCAACAAAATATATGATACAGAGATGGCACAAGTCACTTTTTGCAAGTCACAGTTAAGCCTCAAGTTTATAGCCTATTTATAGAACCAACAAGCAATGAGCCACACAGCCAAAGAAAGTAGCACACAGCACACTAAATTACAGCCAATAGCCAAGTCCTGTCTTTGATAAGGCAAAAGGCCTGTCTTAATACAGGGCTTGGGGGTGTATGATCAAGTTTCAGGGTAAAAGTAGGGGCACCCCTGGGGTTTGGCCACCCCTACTTTTACCCTGACTCCGCCCCTGACATCTGCATCTCTCCTCTATTAGTGGCGCTGTGACCTACCACCCCTCCATTCATGTGGTTAATTAATTGATTGCAGAAAGTGATCCTTTAGGGATGAAAAATAACTTAAAGTGGCCAGTAAATATACCTGAGTGGCATATATAAATGTGAGAAGCACCAGCTGTGGCACCAGGTGATGTGATGGGTCCACTAGGGCACCAGAAGAGAAAGTTGACTCATGAGAAGAGGGAATGATACAAAATAATAAGATTGTCCACGAGTACCAAAGTCATTGGCCTGGCCGGGGGTGGCTCTCCAGTGGCTGAATCAAAAAAATAAAAAAGATAGAGAGGATTTTTTTTCTTTTATTATTTTTACTGTTCAGGTTTTTTACACTTTGGTTCTATAAGAAATGTGTTGACTTTGTGCCAAATTATCATTTTTAAGTTCACATCAGCTTAAATGTGTGTCATATCCTGCATGCCGAATGGCAGAAAGATATTGCCTATCAAAGTGCAACTTTCACACAAAGCCTCAAATGTGACATTGTACTCAACCTCAAACCTGACAAATGTGTGTTATAAACATGGGTGCTACGCCTGACAATTAGAACATGATAAAATATGTATTATAAGTTTTTGTCAGTCTTTTGGTTATCGTAGACTAACTCAATTGACACAGAGAGGTTTTCTGAACCATTAATCAAAACCTAAATTTATCATGCAAATAGTACTAGTCCTACTAATAGTACTTAATAAGGACTTTATTAAGGGTGTAATAAAGGTTCCTTAAGGCTTAGTAAATAGTTAAATAAAGGCTTATTGAAGGGTGTACTGAAGGCTAGAAAAGTCTTCGTTAGTTTGGGCTAAATTGTGTGCAAGAGAATGTTTTGTAAGTCCTGATGCGATATACATGAATAGTATTATTCATAGGTCAATATAACCTCAGTGGGAAGAATGCTGTGGAGCAATTTTTTTCAAACCCACAAGGATTTTAAAATATCTAAATTTTAAGTACAGCTGACAGGGTTAGGGCATGTCAAAGCCCTAAAAAACTTCATACTTTGCATAAACAACAATAATAATTTTTAAGATCCGAGAAGGTCCTTGCACTTTTGGTGCAATAGCCCGAATTAAAAATTTAAAGTGTAGGTAAATTAGTCATTTTTGAAGTTGACAGAAAGATATAAACTTTTCGGTTAGGACAGGCCTGTTTGCAGACACCCGTGATCTTTCCAAAGCCTGGCTGTAAGTTAATGATAGAGTTTGTTTGCATGGAGCTTTGTGTAATCCCCAAAGAAATAAAGATCAACAAAGGGCGATAGGCACGCACACACACAGTCACAGACACATGCACACACACACACACACATAAGCATACATACACTTCTGCTTATGATGTGTCCTACTTGCAGCTCTGCTTAAATATTTGTCTTTCTATTGTCCAAGATGAGAAGTAGATAAACAATATGAAGTTTTTGAGTGGATACTGGTGACAAATAATTACATGCATCGTTAAACATAAAAAAATGTAGATATCTATGGTCCAAACATTGAGTCCTTGGTGTTAACTTTGTGGCAACATCTACATATTTCAAAAATATGGCAAAATTCAAAGGTTTTCCAGGCATATCTAGGGGTCCTTAAATAGACTCCTAGGGATATAGGGGGGATATGTCCGAGATATAGAGCTATAAAAACCTAAACAATCAAAAAAATCTTTCAGCTTTACTGTGTCAGAAAGTGAAGCACCCCTCAGTACATATTGTTTACAAGGATCCCCATTAGCTTTTGTGAAGAAAAACTAGTCTTCCTGGAGTCCGACACAAAAAATAATAAATATAAAGTACAAATAAAAGAAGTCTTTATCTAGCCAATGTTTGAACTCATGGCTGTGGTTTGGCTGTTAAAGCATGACTGTACTTGTTGGCTCAGTATCCACTTGACCTCTGAAGGATAAGGATATCCATCAGTCTTCAGTTGAGGCTTGAAGACTCAGATCCTCTTCTGATAGACAGTAGTTTACAGTCTCCTGTGGAGCCCCTCTCTAACTCACTGTGGACCATCCTGTAGTAATCCTGTGATAAGACATTTTACTGACAGCCTCTAATCCATGTCACAGTCCCCCGATAAACAGGTCCGTTTGTCAAAGGGGAAGTGTGTGACTGTTGTTGTTGTTAAGATTTTTTTCAAGCAAATGAGTAAACTTCATGTTCATACTCGAGCAAACAGTGGGACAATGCCCAGTTAGTGGAGGATTAACACAGACAAGGATTACAGTCCTGCTTTTTAACTGTTTGAACTCATGCGTACACACAAAAGGCCACTGACTGTTTTCGAGGATCATAGTAGTCTTTCGAGTAGATCTTAAAGGTATTTTAGAAATCTGAGCGATAAATATTTTAAGTTTTAAAATGCAGTATCACCATCAAATTGAACAGGAAAATCAGATCACACACTCACCCAAATCAGAGCTGGTAAGATTCAGAGTCATGCTCAAAAATGACAGATGGTATAAAACAACATTGATTACACAAAAGATCTGTATCCCAGACACTGAGCTCTTGTCAGCTTCCTTGTGCCCCTCCAACCTATAACTTCGTTCATTCGTTTGTTTTCTTCTGCTTATCCAGGTCCAGGTTGCGGGGGCAACAGCTTCAGCTATAACTTTAGTTTCCACAAATATTTCTCATTATTGTTTTCATCCATCTAAAAGCAGATACCGTTTGGTATAACAGTTCTCCCATGTTCCCAGTTTGTGACTTTCATTACATGGAAAAATAAAGCTCTGATAACTTTTCCATGCTATAGCTCCATCCCTAAGGTGCACGCATCTATTGTAAAGGCTCCTCTCTGTGATTCAGACCACAGTGTTGTCTTTCTTAGACCTATCTGGAAAGAGGATCTG